AGAAGCCTCGACGCCAAGGTTCGCAAACACCTCTGTAAGTTTCCTCGTCATCTTCTGATCTTTCGCACTTTTGATTAGAAGAGGCGACGAGAGTAGTTTCGTTCCGGCGCGGATATGTCGGATCGACTCTGCGTATCGACCAGTGATACCCTCAAACGCAACGAATAACAAACAGCATACCAGAGTACACTGCAGGTCGAAGGCAGATTCCATCGACATGTGGGGTATTATACGCTGGATGGACTTGTTGTACTGCTGCATAGCCAAGCTTTTCAGCTGCTGCAGCGGAGAGCACGTCTCTTGGCCCGCCATGTAGAATCTATGCGCAGCACCAACAGCGATGATGGCATGCCTGATAGGTTCGCACGAATGCGCAAGAGGGAGGACATAGTTGATGTAGAAGTTTGATGAGCCCGGGGAGCAGGTGAGTTGGGTAGAGGTCCAGTGGTGAAAGTGATGAAAATAGCAGTTCTCAATGGACGTCTCGGCTATACGAGGGTTGAGAGACGAGACGGTATATCCAGCGACGGGCAGTGAAGCGCGCTGCTGGATCTGGTTCTTGTTAGGCGTGGCGTAGCCGTCGCATTTAACACGGCCATCGCGACAGCGGCGACACGTCGGCTTCTCCTCATCACACTTCAAATGCCTGACTCTACAATAACACGGTGATTAGAAGCGATTAAACACCCAATCAAAACAGAAATACGTACTTGCTACATGTATATTAGTCTCTGATTCGTTAATTAAGCATACGGCACAGGGCGACATACCAGGTTAAGCAGCCAGTGCGAACTTTTGGTCTGGAGGCGCGCTGCCATTTGACCTTCTTGGGCAGGATTACGAGCTGGTTCGTCGAGGTAGTCATGATTTGTTCCTTTTCCTTGGTTTGTTACGAGAAAGCTTGGGTCAAAAAACAAAGCAAAGGCAGGGAAAGCGAGAGAATTTTGATGCCGTTGGATGGTGCCCTTCGTACGGGGAAATATCAACATGTCGCAGTCTCCACCGCCAAGAGGCGCAGCTCAACGCTAGCAGGGTTCTGATCCCTGTTTTTACGACGCAGCCAATCACGTCCAAAAGCTCGGCTGAAACGTGGGCCTCAAAGCATCTGGAACTGTCTGTGTCATACGGGGAGAAGTCAGTCTTGATAGAAACTGCGTAAGCCTCAGATCAACTCTCGCTGCGAGAATCATACATATCTGGCAGTGCCTCCCAATTCACCTGAAACGGAGCATCTTGGCATGCACGTTTCCGGCTCTTGAGTGCCGATAAGGCTGAATTAGAGAGGCAGAGATCGAGATGAATTACGCGGCTCCCAGGGGCTTTGCAGGTTCGAGAACATCCCAATTGTAATTTGATGCTGGAATCACGCTGTATTATGAGGTCTTGCTTCACGGCGAGCCTGTTTGGGAAACACATCCGTGATGAGGATGATATGTGACTAGCGGGACTATTGTAAAACATCATGACACTGCAGTGATTGACGAAACAGTCGTCGAGGTCGTTTAAGGGCTGATACTGCCAAGAATCAAGGGAGTATCATGATCTGCTCCCTAGTTCCGCACTTTCGGAACCACTCCGGAACCCGGAACGCCTGGCTCGGAATGGCTGCAACGCTGCATTCCCCGTACTTAAAGCTCTCAAAACTATCTGGGACAGTTATTCTCATCAACCTGATGGTGTTTAAGCGTATGTAAAAGCCTATAGACAACCATAAACGCTATCTCGTATAAGATATCTACGGCGCTTTTTGAGTTTGGTCGCTAGACCAAGCCCAGGATAGCTTTGAGAAACAAAGACATTCAGGTGTTTTGTTTCGTGGCGGAGCACGTGCGCTCCGCGGACTACAGCTCGCGGGGATGCAGAGCGGCTGTAGAACGTTAATATCGCCAGAGTGAAATGAGCCAATTGAAAAGAGCTCATCGCGGAGTATCACTCGTTACTCTGTTTAGGAGGCTGTTAATTAGCCTGAATTTGTGAACAGCAGCTTACGTCGCCCTTGTTAGGGGGTCCAGGGTGATTCAACACTCACCGGAGCAAACCCCTCAAAAGACAGCAAGGGAACTTATTCCTCGAATGCCGAATAACAGCTTCATACAGAAAAGGAGATCTTCAGGATAACTCGGCCTTGGCAATAGCATCTTTTGCCTTTGGTCGACCAGCTCTCTAGCCTTGTATCATCTTGGCATTACAACCCACCACAGTGATGAAGAACCAAAGTCCCAATCACATGTATCACCACGTAAGTAGCCCTATCATACTGTGTTATAAGCTTCGTCCTGGCCTCGCTAATCGTGAATCCCATGAGCCGCTTTTCCGGGAGACGGGGCAGTACACAGCCTCGACTCCACTAAAATGGGTTTTCGGGAATGCCGAACGCAATGCGCCTCAACACCAAGGAGTCATATCCGGAGGCCGAGAAATCCGTGCATCGCGGATAATTGAGACTTCGGGGATATTAGATAACAATGGATCTTTGGTCAATCAGCAAATCATTTTCGATGTCTGAAGCGAGATGTTACGTTGTATCTCCAATGTATCATCGCGAGGGCGTCTCATTGCAAAGTTTCGCGGGCGGTGAGGGTCACTAGATATCATGAATACCAGTAATTTGACCCCAAATCCATGAGACTGCCGGCCTTGTACTCATATCATGTCAACATGGCTCCAGTCCCAGCCTTGAGTTCTTCCCTTGATCTGAAGATCATTCCTCTATTTGAAGATCGTGACTGAAGGATCTAAAAGCATTACGTAGAGACTATCACTTTGACATGGCCGGGAAGACGGAGTGCTTCGGAGTGTTTATATGTATTCATTCTCATTATTCATCTCCGCTGAAAACAGAACTTGCAGTCATTTGGAAGGCCAGGGCATCTTGAGCGCATGGATACTTTAAACGGTCCATGATCAGAAATGCGCAAATACATGCTAATTAGTGCATGACGTGCAGTGCCCACTCTCTAATCTTAAAATCCTTTCAATCAATAGAGACTTCTTATTCTTTGTCCCATCATTCGTATGTCATGCTCAATTCTGGACATGCAAATACCGCGGCTTTGCTAGCTCTGTATATGTCGGTGAGGCCATAGCGTGTCCAACGGCACCCAAAAGCTGGTACGAAACACCAAATAGTGTTTATGCTATTTACTTTGAATTAATTGAACTATAATGAGAAAGCTGAAATCTGTCTCTTGAAACGCGCGCCTCGGTGGTTTCGTGATACAGATCTCGGCCGTCCGTCTTTCGGAAAAGCTTGATTCGTTGGTCCGTGCCGCGGAATCCCGATGCCTGATCTTCGCAACCGTGACCAACGAGACATGACATCATCTTCTCACCGCTATCATCATGACTTCCGATAACTATCCAGTCTACAAAGTCAAATCGCATATGGCCTTTCCAGATCCGCACATGCCGCCTGGTCGCTTCCATCACGCCATATTCGTTGTAACCAGCAAAGACGGCTCTGGCACGCTATACCATGTCACCGGCGACGTCACTTCAGCAAACGGGATGAGCTACGAGAGTAGAGAGTGGCCCGATCCTGCGCAGATGGAAGGCTTTCATTGTAAAGAGTTGCTGGGCTATACCTCCTCCGACGTGCATCCGGAACGGTGGAATGCACTTCTTGCTTCGCTGCCGACGCCGCCGCAGCAAAAGGCTTCGAATCCGAGCAAGCAAGGTCGCGTTGAGCCTTTCAAGGACAAAATTGGGGACTATGAATATCTTTTTTATACTGATGGGGAAGAGCGCAAGCCGCTTTGGAAATGTACGGAATTGGTTGAATGGTACGCTATTCCTGCTCTTCATGAACATCGCCTTCTACAGAGTAGTGATCAGTGACCAGATCTCCGTATTCAACAGTTCGAGGTTTCTAAATATCTAGTTCCACTCTCGCGTATTACGATCTCGTCTGCTTTGCATACAGCAATGAATGCAGCAACACGCCACTTTCCATGAGGAACAACAGATGCTCATAGCGACAATACCATTGTAGCGAACAGTCCAGCGCATATAGTAGCCAAAGAAAGCTTCACGCCTTTCAGACCTCCATTTGACTCCGCAGGTGCATCAGCCCCGGCCGTAGAACTACCTGTCTCTTTGGAAACGGACTCCGTACCCTCAGCCGTAGTAGTACCCGGATACTCACTCTTCAGCTTTTCCAACCCAGCAGTAAGCGTGACCCTCCCATACTCAAACGTCGGTCCATAAATCTCTCTCAAATCCGACTCTCCCCTGTACGTCTTCGGTCCAATCGTCGAGGGGCCGTTGGCCGGTCTATTGATCATAGTGCAGTCTTGCGCAACAGATCTACTCATCTCACAGTGAAGCGAGTAAAACCACTTTGTACCGCCTTGTGGCTCCGTGATGACTACGTCCATAGCTCCTGTAGGGTCTACGCTTGATGCGAGTGTTTTCTCGGCCCAAGGACCTAACGTGATCGTTTGACCGTTTCGTTCACAGCTTTCCGCGTCGGGTGGACAGTTGAGAAGATATGTTGTCGCTGTGGCGTCTGCACCCAGGATTTTTCCATGGAGAGTCATGGCGTCTGAGGGGACGAGAAGGAGGTCTTTAACTGATGTTGACATTCTGGCATTGAGGTGTTGAAGGATGGCGATGGTTGAAGAGCTCGCAGTCAGGCTTTTGGTTGAAATTGAAGAGACTGTCTTTTATGTAGATTGTGTAATTATTGAGACGATAAAGTTCTATGAGCGGTGAGGATGAGGATGAGGATGTCAGCAAAGTGAAACAACGCGTCTTTTCACGCGACCAAGTCCGTGTCGCATCCTTAATTTATAGAGTGGATCACGCAACACAGAATCTCCAAGCAATAATATTAAAGTCAATGCGATTTACAAGATGAGAAATTGAAGGACAAAGAGACTAAACATATAGACACTGCGATCGAAGACATCTCCAAGTACGCGGTCTACATCGCGATGAGACATGCTCTCGTGGCTCGTGGATACTCAACCCCCTGCCATCCCCGCCAAGGATTTCCGAAAATGGACCAGCCAATTCTCGCTCCTACACCATCGCATCATGATGTCAGTCCTTTTTGTACTTATTTACATATTAAAAGGTTCTTTCGCACTCCAATCTACGAGATAATGGACTAATTTTGGTCTCCAGGGAATGTCCTCCGCCGGTGCTTGTCAAAAAGGCTCAATGCAGATGATGTCGCGTTCCTCGAGTTATTTTCTCGCATTCTCATTGGCCGCGACAATTGCCCAGGTCCGTCAAACCAACTCTTCACGCTGGCATTCTCTAACTCAATCGCAGATGAGATCTCAAGAGCGCTAGAAAAAGGTATCGAACTCGAATGGGAGGATGTCTACGATTTTGTGAATCCTTTCGGCGACAAAAGAGGTCGGGCTTTTAATAGTCTTTGGAAATTCGACCTCGATAAGGATGTTCTCTTTCTCACGAAGCAGGATCGGCTTTGCTCTGCACCTCTGCGCCTGGCAAGAGAGAGAATATTTACTTTGGACGACTTTGAGATACTGAAATCCCAAACTGAAACAATCGCAGAGGAGGGACTTGTACCACGACTGTACTGGGACCTTCAACCCAAAGTTGATGATCGAATAAAGGCATTTCTTGGCCGGATTCTCCGCGACTTTGGCCATACGTGGCGCCACGTTCTACGAGCAGAAATGAACAAAACCACTTTTACGAAGCTGGCATACGCTATTATCTGGATTCTAAATCTGGACTTCACCATAGTGGAACGTATGGGATTCGAGCACGTTGGTGGCCGCGGCGGGCCATATGTTGGAGTGGCAGACTTGCCACGATGGGATGCTCCAGATGAAACGATCGTGCGAGTTGGTACACGTTGGGTTGTTCTGGCAAGAATTATTCCCGATGGAATAAAGATGATATGAGAGCATGTTGAAACCCGTGCGACGATGACTGGTACTGCGACGTACACAATATTGACTCTCAGACAAATAACCTGCTGCAAGGTTTACGATGGCGAACTGGTATACACACGACCCGAGCCAATATTCAGCGACACTCCCCCCTCTTATTCCGCTATCGATCTGCTTCTCTGGGCATCAGACTTTCATCAAGCAGAACCTCAGCCTCGTCGGCTCAATTACCTTCCCATTGAGATCCAGGACAGGATCCTTCGTCAGGCTTCAATGAGCAGTGTTGCAGCAGCGAAATTGAGTGTCGAGCTTGCTCTAGGGTCGCCATTTTCGTGGGCTGAACAAGGCAGGAAGATCAAACGGTACTAAGACATCGAACAGAGGTATCACCAGTCGAATCTCAACTCTAATTTAATGGGCTGATGAGCGGCTTGTCATATAAGTGCGAGGCAATGCCTAATGGCCTCAAAGTCGACATGAGCTCGCTTCCTGCGCCTCCTCATCGCAACAGTGCTGTGCCGTTGCCGTAAGGCAAATACTGACAATTTCGGTTCGGCTGGGCCGGGCAGCATGATGATGCGCAAAGTCAATTGTTTCTGGATCTTTTCGCCAGGATCCAATAGCTTTTATTGATAAATTGATTCCATTCATAAAAACTAACCATATTTAATCTTACGTTTCAGTTTTACATCTGTCTTACGGCGTAGTCTTGCAGGCCATTCTTGACCAGCCCCCGCTTTCGTTACGAACAGCTTCCGAATATGGCATCCGGTACAACCATGCGTTGGTCGCCCGCCACGCAATGATCTGATCAAAGCATCGCCCAAAAACACATTATCGCGCAGTCAATTGAATCGAGACTTGGGAAACAGCATACAAAATGGCGCAAGCAGCAAATGAACACGAAGGCCCTCTTCAAGCAGATGTACGCTCTCCAACGATGGGTCGACTGTTTGCTGATTCTGCTAGGATACTGCGTCTTTGAGTCATGATTCTGCATTGGCTGGTTCGTACGTGACTTCGTATCGTCTTATTAATGCCCGCTGATCTGTTGTTTAGACTTGAGTCAGGAAGTTATCTGACTTCCCTCAACTCCAGCGTCTTGAACTACAAGTATGTACCCATTACATGCATACGTTCACATCTAACCGTTTACCTACAGATACGAAGTATGGCTTAAAGAAGCTGCTTATACAATTGTCTTGACTGACGGACTTAGAATGGACGACGATATCATGCATTCCGCGAAGGCGCGTACCTAGTTGTATGTTGAGACGCCACCACGAAAGCTGATACTAACAGTCGTAAGCCCAACGATGACGAAGAACAAGATAGAATGGATTTGGGCCATCATATCTACCGTCTTGGCCTCGGCGGCGATCTCTTCCTCGCGCCTATTGGCGATAAAGTCAAGCGAGTCCTTGACCTTGGCACAGGAACAGGAATCTGGGCCATGGACTTTGCCGAGTACGCATCCCCTCATCCCTCACAAACCATATCTAACAATTCCCAGCGAATATCCCGAAGCCGAAGTCCTCGGCACCGATCTAAGCCCAATCCAACCCCCATGGTAACCCCCCCCTCCCTCCCCATCACTCTTCTAACATCCCCAGGACCCCGCCAAACTGCCTCTTCGAAGTCGATGACTTCGAATCAGACTGGCTCTTCCGCCAACCCTTCGACTTTATCCACGCGCGCGAACTAGAAGGCTGCATCAGCAACAACGCGTAGTTCTTCACCCGTGCTCTGCAGAGTCTCGCGCCCGGTGGATATCTCGAGATGCAGGCTGTTCACTCTGAGTTCAAATCTGACGATAACACGAAAAATATGGCGGAAAATGCGCTGCTTTGGATGAAGACTATGGTTGAGGGGTCTGCAAAGTTTGGGAAGCCGCTGAATGTAGCGCCGGAGTGGAAGAAGGAGATGGAGGATGCTGGGTTTGTGGATGTTGAGCAGAAGATTCTCAAGGTAAGTGCTTTCGTTATTTGTGACATGCTTGTTGATGGTGAGATAGGTTCCCATCGGATCTTGGCCTAGAGACCCGAAGCTCAAAGAGATTGGCAAGTTTCAGTCTGTTCAAGAAGCGCAGGTCATTACGTCGTATACACCTGGTATCTTCTCGCGTGTTCTTGGGTGGAGTGATGAGGAGATTCAGGTGTTCATGGCAAAGGTGAAGAAGGATCTTTCTGATCCGAGTATTCATCTTTATCTTCCTGTTTTCTTCATTTGGGGAAGAAAGCCGGAGTGATGAGTAAGGTTTAGTCGGATACGTTAAAGGCTCGGGAAGGGTTCATGCGGGCAATATGGTGGATCAGCATTTGCCCCAGTTAAGATCTCATTTTCATATGTTTGAAATTAAAGGTCATCCTTTTTCATCTTGTTCTCAGAAATATTATTGTACATAAGCTGCAGCCCTTATTATGACTTATTTTCTCGGTTTATATTTCTTGTTTATCTTATCTTCTAACATCGATAAGATAAGGCTTATCGGACATCTCTGGACATCGACCAGCTTCAGCTACCCGGGACTCAGAGAATTGTGACTTGGTATCTGTGTAGTGACCCAGTGGGAAAGCTAGTAGCAAGCGAGAAATGTATATAAAGGTCAGCTGAATATTCAATCTTGTTCAATAGAGTACTAGGTTTATCATTGTTACGCTAGCAGTATCACAACTAGCCAACATAAATTAATTACGACTATTTTGTGTTCCCTACACAATACCTAGATCTCTATATGTCACGTTCTCAACTTTCCCCATTGTTTTAGATAAGCTATAATACTCCTACTTCGGTCATTCCATGCCCAGACTTTTTTTCTGTGTTTCTGTTGTTCATCTTGTGCAGTATGTGACCAAAACAATGGCATATAGCTCACGTCCAAGAAGGATAGAGGGGCGGTTATGTAGATCACCCCAATGTTCGTGGGGGGCGGGGGGCGCTTGGATGAACATCTCTTGGTATCCATTAACGGCTTCAATTGGTCGTCTGTTGTCGGAGTATTGCTAGTCCAACTTGATATGCAAATATTTAAGAGCCCATATTCGGTACGAACCTTTTAGGCCTTAACCAGATTTAGCAGACCAAATTGGTACTGGTGTCGCAAGCCTCTTCATCCTGCGTATGCTATCTTTCGCTACTTTCGCGATCGACAGCGATTCGGGATGTTGATGCTCATGGAACCATTCTTAAAAGAGGGTTTCACCCCCATTCAGCTGCATTTAGTCTACAGGCTTTCTCTTCTGATAGACTGGGTAGTACAGATGCAGGAACATTACGCCATCCGCGACGCGTAACCCAACGTGGCCTCAATCGCGGCACTTGCAGATATTGGGGGCAATCGTGGGGGATTGCGCCATCAAGAGGCTCAGCAGACTTAAGCGTAATTAAAACAAGTCAAAAGACAAGCTTAATACCTTAAAATGACCGTCCGATAGGTGGATAATCGTTCACGACTGTCATCGCGCCAAGCTCATTCGTATATGCGGCTATCAATCTCCCCAACGGTGAACCGTCAGTACTTCCCAATTCGGCCCAGCACAAATGAACAGTTCGGACGAAGACTCAACGGGCAAACATCTTGACTTCGCTGATCGTTCATCCCATCGTATCCGGTTGGCGGAGAATAACGGTCCGCCGGGATAATCCGCGGTGAATGTAACTGTGCACGGTAATTGACCTAATCAATATGAAACGTCCGTCTTCCAAAAAAAGATAATGGATAAGCTCAAGGTTAAAGAATTAAGCTTATTGGTTAGAGCATCTGCTAGAACACGGACAAAATCCCCTTTCCAAAATGAACAGTGGATCGCATCGGATGTTGCAACGTTGTTTAAATACCTAGTTCAACGCCCAGGTAATTGAATCGGCATCGACTTCGACAATCTCATCGCTCACCATGAAGTTCCAGACCCTCCTCACCGTGGCCTCGGCCAACCTCGTCCTCGCAAACAACCTCCTCGCCACGACCGCCGACTCATGGATCCGCAACAACCGCGAGACCCAGCGCGCATACTGGTACGGCCGCGCGGTCGTCTACGAGGGCATCGAAGCCACCATCGAGCTGACCAAGAACAAGACCCTGCTCGCATGGTACCGCGACCAGATGGACGATGTGGTGTACCCCAACGGCACCATCATCAACTATGACTTGACAAAGTACTCGCTTGACAACTACCGCATCGGCTTGAACTTGCTGTACTGGTACAAGCAGACCGGTGAGGAGAAATACAAGGTTGCTGCGGATTTCATCCGTGATAGAATCAACCAGCATCCTAGGACGCCTACTGGTGGGTTCTGGCATCGCTCGCCGACGTACCCGGATCAGATGTGGCTGGATGGCATTTTCATGTGCGATAGCTTCTACGCTGAGTGGACTGCTGAGTTCGACGCCAAGAACACCACGGCCTGGGATGACATTGTCCTTCAGTGGGATAAGATCCAGGAAGTCACCATCGACAAGGAAACCGGTCTTCCCGTGCACGGCTTCGACGAGAGCAAGACCGCCGTCTGGGCTGACCCCGAGAACGGCGCTTCCCCTATTGTTTGGTCCCGTGCCGTCGGCTGGTACATCTGGTCACTCATCGAAGTCCTCGACGTCTTCCCCAAGTCTCACCCCGGCTACAAGCGTCTCGTCACTTACTACAAGAATCTCTCCTCCGCTCTCCTCCGCGCCCAAGGCCCCGAGTCTCAGCTCTGGGAACTCGTCATGAACAAGGAGTACGAGGGTGTAGAGGGTAACTACATTGAGAGCTCCGCCTCCGCCATGTTCACCTACGGCTGGTTGGCTGGTCTTCGACGCGGACTTCTCGATGAGAAGACGTACACCAAGCCTGCTAAGCAGGCTTACAAGCGTCTCATCCGGGACTTTGTGACCAAGAACAACAATGGAACGATTACCTGGGAGGGAACCGTCGAGGTTGGATCGTTGAACAGTGATGCTTCTTTCGAGGTAAGTTTGTCTCGTGTGATTTTGTGGATTCGGCTGACTTTTGTAGTATTACACTGAGGTTCCTGTTGTTCCTAACGATACTCGCGGTATGGGACCTTTCATGATGGCTATTTATGAGTGGGAGCGTCGCAGCAAATAAGCGCATGACGGGATGATTTATAGACGTTAGACTATAGATTGAGATAGAGTTGATGATCGATAACCTTTAGTGTACATATTTAATTCTAGTGCTCTTCGCACGTACATTTTCTCACTTTACGTCCCGACTTTAGTGTGACTTTTACTGTGTGATCCTGCATAACTATTGCGTCCTTAGCATCATGTCATCATGAGTTGGTGGCGCGTCTCTGTTAGCGCGTTGATCGCTGAGTCTTGAATGGACGCGACGGATTGGCATACGCCCGTTTATTTCCGGAGATTGACAAATCTACGATTGGCTCGCTGCCGTTTTCGCTATTAGACTCTCATATCATTCCATATTGAATCTTGATGATTTCACATGTCACTGACGAGCACAATGTGAATTTTTGAGTCTCGCGTCTTTAGATGCGACATGAGAATTGGTTCTGATGTCAGAAGGGTAAGCGATACCATTAGCTCGTGAGCTATCAATTGCAGATTCGCATTACATCTCCCCATAGTCAATAATACCAGAAACCATCGATGAATTTCTCATTTGTAGCCTCTTAAATTAACAGTGAATATTGAGTTATCATAAAAGGCACAATCAATCGCATTCCGGCCGATTACACATTCCAGCCCTCGACAAATTACGTCATGGCCCGCATCCGTCATACGTCATGTCTCTCCGTCATCTTTCAGCCTCGTATATCTCAATCCTTCTCAACAACACAATCTCACCAAATCATCATCTACAATGGCAGAAGTAGCAGCAGGTGTCATCGCAGTCGAGCAAGTCGTCTCAACCGGCCTTGAAGTCGGCGCCGCAGCGACCGTAGCTCGTCCCACGCAGCCTCTCACTGCAGTCTTGAGCCAAATCGCTACGACCCCGAAGGAGGATAACTCGTATGTCCCTCGCGTCGTGGCTATGGAGGGAGCTGATGAAAATAGACTGTCCCTAGCGAGATCTCATCACAGTGTCAGTGTCATCGATGGGAAGGCATACATCTTTGGTGGCAAGAAAGATGATGGCCAACTGTGCAACAACGACATCCATGCTGTATCCATCGGCGATTACCAAGGCGAAGGCGAAGGAGAATACGCATGCTACCCAGCCGTGGGTGACGAAGGCCAAATCCCCTCCCCACGCATCAACCACGCCTCCTGCACGCGCCGCGACACGCTCATTATTCACGGCGGCCAAAACAGCGATGACGAACCCGTCGACGATGAATTCACTCTCTGGGAATGGGAGCCCAAATCCGCACGATGGTCTTCTATAACCGCCGCTGGAAAAGCGCCCCAATCGCGTTACGGACATCAGATCTTTTATGATGCCAAGAAAGATAATCTTGTTCTTAATGGGGGGTATGAGAATGGGCAGCGGACTAAGACAACGTGGTTGTTTGACTTTACAACGCGTCTTTGGCATCCTTTGCCTGATGCTCCTGCTGAGCCTTTGGCAGCGCAGTTTGTTGAGGGGACGCTGTATGCTATTAGTGCTGAGTCGGATGTCCATGGGTCGGTGCACTATATCAAGACTGGTACAATCCAGGATGAATCTCTCGACGCACTTCCAGAGTGGACAACCGTCGATTTCCCTTCCAACCCTCTCGTCCCCGGACCACGCCCTCGCGTTGGCAGCGCTTTGATCCCCGTAACAACCGGCCACGGGCGTCGCTACTTGCTCTACCTCCTCGGCAGCCGCCAAGACGCATCGATCTCTAGTGATAAAGCCTACACCGAGGAACACCCGTTCTACTCCGACATGTGGACTCTTCAACTCCCCTCTGATGATTACAGTGCTACACGGGTCAAGGATGCTATTCGCGAGACGATTCCGGGTGTTCAGTCGGGAGCGTTTAGTTGGCATGAACTTGAGATTGCGCCGGCTGAGATGACGCAGGAGGCAGGCAAGGTGCACCCGGGACCGAGAGGGTTCTTTGGGGCTGATGGGTGTTTGGATGGGAAGGGAGTGCTGATGTGGGGAGGCGTTAATGCAAAGGGGGAGACTGAGGCTGATGGATGGCTGCTGAAGATTTCTTAGAGGCCATCGCAGTGTATGAAAACTGGGATAAGGCAAAAAACGAAGAGTGAGGGCGAATTAGTCAACAGTGTATCCTATGATGGAAAAGAAAAAGAAATGCATTTTAAAATGACCAGAACATGCTATTGTAGAGGCCGTTCTCATATTATCTGAAGTTATATGGACGATGTTGAATGACTGCATTATGCCGTCAATTCCAACCAATGACGTATTGTCTTAGTCATCACAAAACCCATCATGAGACTTGGTGGCCAGACTTTCAACCTTCATTTTCTCATCACCAAAACATCAAAAAATGAAGCGCGCTCTAATGATACCAAGCCTCCGAGAAAATGCGACCAGAAGCGCCTTTCACACAACCCGCTCGCGCGCTTCACCAAACGCACCCAACGCTGCGAAACCTCAGCCAAGTCAAGCTCAACCAGGAACGACAGATGCGTCAAGCAAAGAAGCGTCAACGGCGCCTCGGAAAAAGACGAGTGCAGAACTAGATCAGGAACTCAGGGAGAAATTGGAGGGTATGTCTGGTGATGGAGGAGGTGCGGGAGTCGAGTATGAGAATGGCCGGGCGGAGGGATTGAAGAGAGGCGTCAAGTCGAATATGTTCCGGGTGATATAATCGCCGCAACTGCAAGGATGATTGGAGGTCTGCCTTTGGCGTGTGATGTACCCTGGGAAGAAGTTGTAAAAGATCTGGTATTTATATGAAGCTTTCAGAACTGGATCGACATGTTGTTCCGTCGTGGGCTCCTATCAAGACTTCTAGTCAACATCTCAGTTCTTGTTCTGTCAATACGATTCAAGTCATGCTGTTCGCAAATGCAACGCACGTCAGACTTTCTGGACATTATCGCTAGTGATGCTGGCTGTTCATGGACGCTTACTGGGTACCGTTTGATACGAGCCTAGCTAACCTACTTCAAGACTCTTCACTGAGTACTCATAGTGCGAAGATGAGGAAGCCAATACGGGACAGATGATATTCACATGGTTCAAAACGGCTAATCGGCTCCCAAACAGTCTTGGCCAGCCAATCTCACGATTCATTGGCCATTTGGGTCCCAAAATAAATGATGAATCCTTCGGCGAAGGCACAGAGAAACTAGTCTTCAATTCTTGAACCTCATTCGCTGGGTTTTATCCTCCCCTGCTTTTAATTTCCAGACCCATTCTTCAACCAATCAACGTCTGTACCGGCTAAGTTCAATCAGGGGCGTCAATGCCTTACTTAAAACCGCGATATTCGCTCTGACAATTGCCCGTGAAATACCAGTATCGACAAAATGACTCGTCTATCTAACATATTAATGCTCTTTGGCGTCGTGGGCAGCTTCGCGGCTGCTCAGTACGATCAGGAGAAGCAGAACAAGGATGCTACATGCAACGTGAGTTAGTTCTATAACCTAAGGGTAACGGCGCTAATAATAGTGTAGAATAATTGTTTCTTCAAGTATTTCACCAACAAATGCAACGCCGATAACCCAGCGTGTGTATGCACACTCAAAGACATGCGCGAGAAGTTCTTCTGCTGCATCGCCGAAAACTGCGCAGACAACGTCCTACCAGGTAATGACTCCCTGTAAAATGACAAACTGTGACTAATTTGTGAGAAAAGAACAAATTGAGAGATCTTCGAATGATTGCGATGCTCACGGTATTCCTTTCACTTTCGACGCTGAGGCTGTTTGCGGAATTAAGCTACCCGTTTCGTCCGAGACTGTTTCGGTTTCGACTACCACCTCGGAAGCTACTACTGTTACCAAAGCGAAGGCTTCCGAGACTGTGACTACATCTGAGGAAGAGTCAACAACGGCGATTACTACAACTACGGGTACTGAGAGCTCGGCGGCGAGTCAGACTACTTCAGCGGCTGCAGCTACTGTCACGGAGAATAGCGGTTCTAAGGCGAAGGGTATGGTTGCGGCGGCGGCTATTGCACTTGGTGTGTTTATTTAATATCTTATCATATCCGCGTCAGATTGAATGAGGCTTGTCTCGTAATTAAATCGATGTCGCTGTCCTGGCCGGCCTGTAGGCGAGGGAGCATCAAGGATCACTAATTGACATCAGCTTATACCGCGAATCTATGTGAACTTGGTTAAAAAACACGTATGTAATGAAATACTGGCGAGAAAAATTCTATATTTATAGTATAGCCGTTGACGACGAATGTACCCGTGGCGTAGTCGCTGTTGGGGTTGTTGAAGTAGACTAAGCGACTAGGGGACTTCGCACTTTGAGAGGGCCGGTCACGTCAACGCCTTGGCCGCACTGTCAATGACTTCTTTTAACGGGCATAGGCTGAAGAGCAGGCGAACTGTAACGGTGTCTTTTCGCGCCTGTCAAACCCGTGTTCGGGAACAAGAACGGGTTTTGTAGGGAGGGATTCGCCAATTGGAGTGTTTTGAGATACACCATTCAGTAGGTCATGGGAGATGCCAAGGAAACAGATGTGACGACCCATTCGAACACAAAGTGACTCAAGATCCAGAAAATACTAATTCTCTCCTTCATAAAACAATTAGAATTGAGATAAGCCAGCAAATTCGTGATTGACATGCTGGAGACTGATTGGCTTGTCGGGTATAAGGCCTCGTCGGTGCCTCAGAGAAAGCCCTCAAGCTTACTTGGAAAGTCCGCCATTACATATCTTCAGGGGCTGGTGAATTATCTTATCGCTTCGTTGTCGATTTATATTGACCGTCATATTACAAGAAAAAAGGATGCTCCGCGATAGCGATAATGAACCTGCTGTCAAAGGCCGTCAGTGTACGCGACGCCTCTGTTCACTACAGCGACGACTTTAACGGCAGTGTAGGTATATTTGTCATTAAAAGCTACTCATACCAAGTCCGTTCGAGTGCAGAATAACCACTCTAGGTGTTCTGCTTGCTGTAGCGCTGAACATAAATACAATGGAAGTAAACCGTGTTCAACCACCGAACAGACATCTCAGCAGGCAGCAATAAAGACCAAGACTTGCTAGTGGAACTGGCACACTCCGTTTGGTGTTCGTTTGTACATATGACGCAGGGACTAATGGGCCAGCTGGCACTGGCACTGGCGTCTCACGCACCCAGGCTCCATCTGATTCCATCTCTGTCTCACAGCTGACCTCTTCTGCATCTCGTATTCGTCTTCGACATCCCATAACTCTCCTTCTTCGCACACTATCCATTAACAACATCTCAACATATCGATATCCATCACCAACTTCTTCATAACACTATCCATCAACCACCTCGTCAGCATCTCAAGTTATTGAGATCTATCACCAAAGCCTCTCGTCCCCCAACGGGACTAGCCATACTTCATAGTCACCAAAACCCTTCTCTATCCTTCACCTCCTTGGTATATCTCATCAACCCCTCCTCGTCTTCCTTTCTGACGGTACGACAGTATACTCTAGCTACTATCCGAGGCGCCTAAACCCAGTACACCAAGACCAAGTAACCCTCGTGTTCATTTCTCTGCAACTTCTGAACCCAGCCAATCCCTCGACCCCCACCAGGCTGAAGACGGACCCAGCATCAAAATGGATGGAGAACACTACGACTATATGTACCAAGGCTTGGCCGCCTATGTGGGCGAGATTTTTGAAACCGATATGTCTCATCTTATCGCTCAGATTGAAGCAAACGGCGGCGTGATCCCAGAGGCTCCATTGCCACCTCTAACATGGTATCCGTACGACTATGAACCCTTTCTCCCCTCCATTGCCCCCCCTCCAGCCGATTCTGAAGGGGTGAATGTCAACGTTCAAGAGAGTAAAGAAGACCCAGTTGTGAAGGCCGAGCCTTCGTCGCCGGATACTCTGGCGGCACCCGAGTCACCTCGATCGCCATATCTCTACGACATTCCGCCCTTTCGTCGCTCACAAAGCCCCTCTCCATTCAATCTTGTAGAGGCAGTTATCGACTCTACTGAGACTGTCACTGTGAAGCCGGAGCCGTCGTCACCAGGAACTGTCCAAGATGTCGTATGGGTACCTCGATCACCAGGATCTCCCTCACTCTACGACATCCCCCGCTTCTACGCCGCACCCGACCTATCCCCTCCCCAGCCGTCCCCCGAAGACTTCGAACGACCCATCCCATCTCGCGCGCCCTCCCCTCGAACCAGTCCTCAGCGAAACACGCTCGGAGGCCGCATCAACGGTCGTGGCATCCGCCGCAATCTCCAATTCTTCATCAATCGCGGTAACCAGCGACGCGCGATTAGTCACGCTCAAATGCTCCGTCGCCGTCGAATGCAAGAGGAGCGATTCGGGCTGCGACAGTATCGGCGCCATGTAGACGGGCTCCAGCGTCAGCATGAGCAGCGGCTGCGTGACGGTGAGAATGCGCCTTGCAATAGCATTCCTGTCTCGCGGGGACGTCGATTCCATGGCGCACCGCGGTTTGTGGAGAGATTCAGCGTTCGAGATGAAGAGGACCGTGGTTGTTGGAGTCCTTTTGACTTGTACTAAGGCATATGGAGCATGTTGATTGGTTGATGATGCTCACCGGATTACCCTTTACGGTGAAGCGTAGCCTCACAGGATGATTGCTTGAGAGATTGAAGAGAGACTACCTTGACATTGGAGTAAGTACACGATATTCCTGATTGCTTTTTGCAGGAGAAAGAATGTTTGAGCGTTGGGGATACAGTGTTGGTCAGATGAGGCGATGTACTGGTTTGGCACTATGAACGTTACGGGAATGACATGTCTTTATGAGAAACGACCAATGAGTCACGAGATAATGCTTTGATAGTTTGAATGAGACCAGATTAATCGTGTTTTAATTGAATACTATGCAATGCACACTTTTAAGCAACCTATAACCGGTTGGCAATCTCTTCTAACAGCTGCAGCTCTTCCTGCATGAGGAACAAATTCTGCGGCAGCACCAAACTCCCCCCAGGCTTCATAATAATCTCCCTCCCATCATGTCTCTCATGCCTCTCCGAATCACTCTCTTCCGTCGCCCTCCCCTTCTCCTCGTCAACACTCTCCCTCTGCGCTTCTGTCTTAGCCCCCCTCAAGTCCTCAGGTGTCCACCAATAAACCGGGTACGCGCGCTGAATGTTATTAACCAGCAGCGCAACACCAAACATTATCGTACAGTTGAATAAAACAACTGGAATGAAGAACCAGCCGAGGTCAAGGAGGCGGTTGTCGACGACGGCGAGGAGGCCGGTTGCGCCGGCGGGGGGATGGATGGTTTTTGTCAGGGCCATTATGGACGTCACGGTCGCGCAGGATATGGCGCCGCCTAGCCATTGAATGGAGTGGAAGTTTGAGCTGAGGAGGAAGAGCTTTCCTATGCTGACGCCTATTGTTGCGGCGATGAGTTGGCCGCCGAAGAAGTTTCGTGGTTGGGCGAGGGGAGACTCTATGGCGTAGAATTCGAGAACAGCGCCAGCGCCCTGCATCATTAGCCTCAACATTCATCAAGCTATAGTAGGAAATAACTTACAAAAGATCCAACAATAATTGGAGCGCCTCGTTCAACAAAAGAGGGAATGCGCTCAGATGCCAATTCAATCACTGAGAGTGCGATGAATATGCCGATAAATGCCCATATTACTGGTAGGATCGTCCCAATGCTTTTTGGTTTATCGCGTCGGTATCCAAAAATGTATGCGACAGGATATGGAACATGTTGCCATGGTGGTGATGGAATAAATGGATTGAGGTATCGATCAATATCGAAAGTCCACGATGTCGGATTGAGGCGCGACATGGGATCTGAGATGATCTGATCTGAGATGAAAAATCCGGGGTAATCAGGCGATGTACGAGAAACGCGCCTCAAGATAATGAAAGAAGTAAAATTGAGATGACACCACGAAATATGACGTAAAATTAGTAATAATGGCGTCTGTTTGTCCCAGCGCGTGTCCAAACTCTGCTCAATGAATGTCTGACGATGCCCTCAGCGAAAAAAGAGCAGGCCAACGCCCTTATACCACTGGCCCAAGCCGCGGAGATGCACCAAATGAACACCATAGCCTTCCATAATTCCGAAAAAATGCCAGCAAAAAGCACAGGGCAGGAACAGTGAGTAATACGTTCCAAGGCCGTTTGAGCCGGGCTCGCTTTGTTATTGGCATCTTCGCGAGACGATTTCGTAACAGAAATTCAACTTTGCGGTTAATTGTGGGTAATTTCCCCATAGTTTCCTATTCTGGTTGGACGGCTTTGCTCACGGGGTTTGTTCGGTGTTGGCAGGTTCCGAGATTATGACATAATGAGAATTTGGGCTGGTATTATTTATCCCCTTCATTGCCGAGGGAAAGAATTTGATTTGTGAATGAAACATTTGTGGACATGCTATTGTGATCGGATACAATGACATTGGCGATGATCATTACGGATCCGTTCAATTGTGACAAGGAAAGGATCTTTATTTTTGGACACTGCTATTGCCGAGTTGCGCGTCGTGTTACCGAAGTTTGCCTGTACAGCCGGGTTACCCGTCAGACCATACCCACCGAGAAAATGCAGGTACAGTTCGGCCTGTCAGAACTTGAGATGTTCCAATTGCGAAAAAGATGGCAAGATTTAGATCTCGGGAATACGATGCGATGCGGAACTGACGTGCGTGCGATTGAATGTGACGATTTAACGGGATATGACTCGAGTATAAATACGCAGGACACTTGCTTCATTTGGCTCAGATACAATCTTGACGAAAGAGGGCAGATGCTATAGTTATCTACTGTGCAGGATGATTAACGCGACACGACGGGATAGAGATTGACATGCGACCGTTGGAAGATGACCAGGCAATTGATGCATCATGTAGCTGGACGCGACGCGACATTCGCAGTGCATGCGTGTCTTGGCTGGGGCAGACATGAAGATACGTTCAAGACCGCGTTTACCATGGTAGTAGCCCATATGGTAATACCAGCGCATCACCGACGTAAGCGCATGGCTTGCAATTGAGAACCGTAGAGGCGGAACTTGATGCGCTGCTCAATGTCTCAGGCCAGATATTTATTCAGAAGCTATCAAGGTCAAGCCGCCTCAGAGCAAGCTTCCAAACTTCATATGCGAATCAAGACAGGGAGGCCAAAGACAACATTCAATTCAATGCAATGGAATGCAATAGTGTGAAAGGACAAAAACATAAATTGCACAACTAAAAGCTAAGATCTACCAACACTTCATACTCCAGCAAGAGCTCGAGATAGCCAGAGTACAAACCCCTCTCATCAAGTCTATTTATTCTTAACAACCTCAAAACCCTTCATAGTATCAAGCGCCTCGCGAATCTCAATCTTGTATGCAGGAATGCCACCAGAGTAACAAACAGGCTCGTAAATCTTACCAGGGATAGAGCCGCCCATGTATCTATTCACATCATCAGCAAAGCTCGTTCTTTTTGTGCGGTGTAGGTGACTTACGTGGAGCGAGTAGTAGGGAAGAGAGTCCTGTTGTTAAGTTCGACGATGTGCTTCTTCCATTCCTCGCCGGCCTTCTTGGAGGGGTTGATGTACTTGATGTCGTTGAGCTTGATCTTGTCGATGGCGTCGACGATCCAGCGGCCTTGGACGGCGACGGATGTAGCTGGGGGTTGTTAGTGAGGAAGACAGGACTGGTGACAGAGGACTTACGGCCGTTGCTAAGAAGGGTTGGGCCGTGGGGACCGTAGATATGGAACATGTTGGGATAACCGGGGGTAGTGACGCCGAGATAGGTCTATTCATGTTAGAGCTGATATGAAGAGTTGAGGGGAAATACATACCGTCGCGCCAGTCTTCCATTCCTTCTCGAGTTCAGCGCCCTCAATGCTCTGAAGACCAAGCTGCGTCATCACTAAAATCATTAGCATACTCAAACCTCCCTCATAAAGCCGTACTCACCACCAGTGACAACATCCTATCATCGTTAGCGTCTCTCCACCAAAGAATTCTTCGGGTGACTTACAAATCCTGTCGCAACAGCAATGACATCGAATTCATGGTGCGTCCCGTCCTCCAGCGTAATACCCGTCTCGGTAAACTCCTTGATCGCATTGTTCTTGATATCAACAACATCCACATTCTCCCTGTTGAACTGCTCGTAGTAATCGTACTCTAAGCACGGTCGCTTGATGCCAAAGTAATGCGGCATGTTCTCTACCGTCGGCGCAAGAAGATCCCGCTTCTTAGGGTCACCAATCCTGTTGCGTGTCTTCTTGGCCCAGAATTTGTACGACTCCTTGTTCGCTTCCGCATTGAACAGGTTGTCCTTGTACACAGCAACCCAGTACCTAAAACCGCCATCTTTCCAGACCTGCTCATACAGAGCCTCGCGGTCCTCAGGCGTATCGTCAAAGGTGTTCTTCTCGTACCAGTCATAGTGGAAGCCTGCAAAGTTCTCCTCGCGGTAGCGGAACAGCTCGGGGTAGAACTTCTTGGCCTGGTTCTGCTCTTCGGCGGAGGGATACTTGCGGCGCATGGGGACGGCGAGGTTGGGGGTTCGCTGGAAGACCTTGAGATGACCGGCCTCGGGACCCCAGGCCTGCGTGATCTGCACGCCTGAGGCGCCCGTGCCGATGATAGCGCAGCGCTTGTTGGTGACGTCGACCTTTTCGTCGGGCCAGAAGGAGGAGTGGTGGATTATGCCCTTGAACTTGTCCATGCCAGGCCAGTCAGGAATGCATCGACGGGCAGCCTATGAGGTTAGTTCTCAAGTCGCTGCTGATCATTGTAGGGAGACTTACGAAGCCGGTTCCAAGGACGAGATACTTGGCCTTGGCGACGCGACCGTCTGCAGTGCGAATATGCCAGCGACCGCTCTCGGTATCGAACTTGCCGCCTACAACAACGGTGTTGAACGCAATATCCTTCTTGATGTCAAGGACCTTGTCGACATGATCAAAGTAAGCGCGAAGATCAGCGTAAGTAGGATAGTTGCAAGGCCAAGTCCAGGTATCGTAAACCTCAGGCCAGCTGAATTCGTATTCAGGCACTTCGGAGTCGACACCAGCACCGGGGTAGCAATTCCATCGCCAAGTGCCCTATTCCGTCAGTCTTCCATGGTCAGATTGGCAGTGGTTTACTTACTCCAGTATCGTTGCCAGCTTCGTAAACAACAGTCTTGTAGCCGCGGTCTCGCAGGGTCTTGAGCATGAAAATACCAGCAAAGCCAGCACCGACGACGAGAGCGTCTACTTCGAGATTATCGGCATAGACACCTTGATCGCCATGATGCTCGACGGAGTAATCCGTAAGCTCAGTGTTGAACTTCTTGTGAACTGGAATCTGCTCGCCCATTGTGAAATGTTGTTTTAAAAAGAAGAGTAATGCTGAAGATGAAAAGACTTGCTTGTGATAGAGAGAATGTTTTTACTTTACAGGAAACACGACCAGTTTATAAACACAATTCGTCCGTCATATGCATGTTGGTCCTGCATCTCATCAAATCGAAACACCTTGCATCTCCGTGAAACTCTGCAGTAGCATCATGTGAAAGCAACCGGCCTCCGTTCCGCCCTGCGTAACTGCGTACCCGCATCCGCCTCGTCACGTCTCCACGTCCAGCTCGCTCCTGTCCATGCAATGCCACCAAACGAGACACAGCGAGGTTACAGCACGTCGTCTTCCCCGCACGCTCTACCCCGGATCGAACCCCACGGGGCCTCGGACGCCATGAACTGCCGAGCGCACGCGGCGCCGCATCCTCAGTAAATGTAGAAGATGAGCGGGCCTGTCTGATTTTTGTGTTTACCCCTCGTCTGTGCACTCGTATCTGCGGGTGCGGGTCCGCAAGCTTAGGGAAGGGATCTACACTGGAATCCTTGGTGTTTTTGGTCAACAGAACTCAGTTAGATTGCGCGAGGGGCGGGGTTGAGGTTGAATAGAGTAAGGTGCTGTATGCGGGTGTATCCTGTCATATGACTTAATAACCTTTGTGAGCTGGCGCGGGCCACGAGCCAAGGCTGCACTATCTTTGAATCAAGGCGCCATTGCGACTAGCAGTATAAATAGATAGCTTCACTAGGGATACCGCAGACAGTTCCGTAACAATTGATCAACCCCCATTCAAACCTCACATTACGTTGTATTGCCCCAAGATGCCTATTACCGCCCAAGCGACATCCAAGCTGCGCAGCATAATCGACGATGCATGCGCCGACCAAAAGACCGGTATTCCCGGTACCACGGTCGTATTGGTCGACAAATCCGGCGAGATATTCGCTCATTCAGCGGGTACGCGCGGTGTCGGGTCCAATGAGCCCATGACGCTGGACAACGTATTCTGGATCGCTTCGTGCACCAAGATGCTTGCTGGTGTTGCGTGCATGCAGCTCGTCGAGCAGGGAAAGCTGAAGCTTGATGACGGTGAACATTTGGAGAATCTTGTGCCTGAGCTTAAGAGTCTGAAGGTCTTGAAGCCTGATGGCAGCTTTGAGGAGAAGAAAAACCTGATCACGCTACGAATGCTACTGACGCATACTGCGGGCTTTGGATATACGTTTTTTAATGAGCGTCTGAGGGATTGGAGCCATCCTGCTGGTATTGATGAGTTTTCCGGTCGCATTGAGGATATCGTCAAGCTTCCTCTTCTATTCCAGCCTGGTGAGGGCTGGGAGTACGGTGTAAGTTCAATTTCCGCCTCATTCCAACATCAGCTAACATTCCAGGTCGGAATTGACTGGGCTGGCATCGCGCTTGAACGAGCCAGCGGTCTGCGTCTCAACGATTATCTCCAGAAGAACGTCTTTCAGCCTCTGGGCATCAAAAGCATGTCCATGCTTCCCGGTAAGGAAATGCGCGCCAGATTAGCTCACATGCATCAGCGCGACGCAGACGGCACACTGCGAACGCGCGATCATCTCCAGCGTCTTCCTCTGGTGACTGACAACGCGAGCGAAATCGCTTCAATCTTCCATAGCGGCGGCGCGGGAATGTTTGCGCAGCCCCAAGAGTACGGAAGTAAGTGCAGATAGTTAATGTTGTGCGGGTGAGTGGATGCTGATCGAAACAGAGGTCCTAACTGTTCTGCTCAACGGCGGAACATGTCCCAACACAGGTGCTCAGATCCTCAAGAAGGAGACGGTCGATCTCATGCTTAGCAACAGCATCGAGAAATTCCCCAACTTCAGCCGTCAGCCCATCCCAGCTGCCAAACCAGATCTGACCAACCCAATCGGCGAGCTATACCCCGTCGACGGAAATCCACCCCAGGTACGACGCTCCCTCCCTTCCCCCGCATTTCAGCAGACACACTGACCATTGAAATTGCAGGGCTGGGGATTGACATTCATGCTCACCAATGGAGGCTTCTCAGGGCGATCGAAGAGCACGGTTCAGTGGGCTGGGCTAGCTAATCTCTGGTGGTGGGCTGATCGCGAGCACGGCATTGGAGGGATCGTCTGCACGCAGATTCTGCCGTTTGCTGATGCCAAGGTCTTGGGACTCTGGGCCGCTGTTGAGACTGAGATTTACAAGGCTGTTCTGTAGATGAGATGAGATTTGAGATCTAAGTTAAGCTAGTTTTGAGTCAGAATCGAAGAGTCAGCTAAGACATTGCGGCGTAGCCCGTTCACAAATTCAAAGCCTCAGTGCCTCGCGTAAAGTTACACATTGACCTCGATATTGGAAGAGTCTAGAAACTCTGCTCATCTCGATCTACACAGCCAAATCATCAAACAAATGAGGCTGTTGACTAGTCGTAAGCCAACATTTCCCAGGGGTCCCCCCTCCATCCCTCCAAGACAGCACGAACTTTGACTGGTCGCACTAAACCGAAAGAGCAAAGAACGCGGGGAAACAAGCGCTCGGATCAGTTGGGAATCCGGGGATCCGGAGGGGGGAAGAGGGGACTATATCTGCAAGGGAGGGGAGAGCTTTAACCCAAGTTCCGCCCACTTTTTGTCACTGATGCAATTTTTTCCACGCTACCATCTCTATTTACTCCAGGACCCCTATATCGACATCATTACAGCACGACCATGAAGAGAACGCAATATGCCTGCGATCAGTGTAGAAAGTCAAAGAGGGGCTGCGACGCTCCGCCGTTGGAGATCCCGGGAAATATGGACCCCCTCCGCGATGGCAAGATGATTGTAGGCGAGAAGCGTGAGATCCCCGCTCGTTTCAGCAGTCCTTGATAGTGCTGACAGATAGATGGTGTAGCACCTCTGGCTCAATCGTCGCCGTGTTCGTACTGCACAAAGACTCATAAGAAATGTACCATGAACTGGGCGTGGACGCAGATTCAGATCTCTTATGCTCTCGCTGCGGCTGCGCGGGGTGAACCAGGTATTGAATGCATTGTCCCCTCGAGACGGGATTCAACATCTACACGACGAGAATCGACATCAACGGAGAATACACGCGATACACCGAATTCTATCGTCCCGGATGATAACAGCTTTGATGTCCAATCAGCAGCGCAATCTTTTGTCTCGCAGTCACTCCCTCCAGTGCCAGTCTTTTCAGAGATCGACACCAGTCTAGACGTCCCCTCATTTCTCGACAATTCACTCGATGCGCTACCATTCGATTTTGTGCCTGAGCAAACAGAGCCTGTTGACGCTAATTTCTACGGCATTCAATTCAAGGATCTCACTGCACCCGAGGAACCGTTAAGCGAGCCCTGGGACTTCTGCAAAGACTCAACGATCTCGCCTGAACTTCAATTCGATGTTGCATCCATGTCGCAGTTCCCTACCGTCAGTCCCACGGAACCTGCACAGTCTCTCATCGCAGTTAGTCCGAACAACGACAAAGACTGGCGAAGAACGAAACGGCGTCGTGTGTCGAATACATGGAGCGATACGCAGAGTAGTTCGTTATCGTCGTTCACTATGGATCAGTCGATGATGACAAGGTCCAACAACCTCATGATCTCGACGAATCTGCTGCAGATCTATCACGATGTCTTGGAGCATAATTTATCGTGCTGGCTGAATGAAGTTACGTGTCCGTTTGGTCGGCAGCAGAAGACTGTCTCTCAACCAGGGAATCTTGCTGAATGGGGATCTTCATGGACGAATCGAGTTCTGCGACGGACTATGAACCTCGATCGTGTGGCTCAGTCAACGCAATTGGTTCATTTGTCCCGGCAGCAAGACTCAGCGACTGCGAAAGCTCTTCATCTCTGTATCATGGCGTTCGCAACACAATGGGCTCAAAGTTCACGACGACACAGAGAACGATATCCCTCACTAGACGACATCGCAGAGGAGAATCCACTAAACGAGTACATGGACGACTTTAAAGAAGAGTTTGATCGTCACCTTCAACGAAACATCTGGGATCAAGCACGACGCGCTCTAGATGACGTCGCAGACGTAGAATCCTACCGCGTCGTCTGCGCAGAAATGATCTTCGGCCTCACCCAAAAACCTCTTGATCCCGAAGACACAGAGCACAGCGACGTCGATACATCAGGCTGTTTCGAGGACGTGTACGACATGCAATCCGTCGCCGACGAAATAGCCAGCATAATCGAAAACGACGGCCCGCCCATCTTCATGGAGCGCGCGGCTCGAAAAATGCACACTCTAAAATACCGCTTCGACGCTGAGCGAAAAGGTCTCACGAAAGGCCGCAAGCGCGCTAATCTCGTAGCGTCCATGAGCAGCGAAGACGCCGGGACCGTGAGTTTGCTGTACTGGTTGACGGTGATGTTTGACACGGTTAGTTCGACGATGAGTGAGAGGCCGCTTGTTGTTGTGGATGCGAACAGTCAGCATGATGATGCGCGTGGGGACACGGATTGGAACGTTCCGCTGTTTATTCAGGATAGTCTTGAGAAGCCGAGGCAGAACGTCCACTGGCCTTGTTCGTATGAAGAGGCTGCTGAGGCTGTTACGAGATCTGCGCCGGTTAAGGTGTTGATGTTTCGCCATGTAGCGTATTTGCAGAATTTATTGAGACAGGGAGAGTCTGGGGAAAAGGTTGAGGAGTTTATTGAACGGTCTGCAAGGGTTTATCGCTACTGGAACACGACATAGTAAGTCCGCACTTCTCTGATTCATGCACTGGTACTAATCTGTATAGCGGCACGTTCTTTAGAGAACTTCTTCAAAACTACAACTCCATCCCCGGCCGCATCCAAAGCTGGTTCATCTGCATCTGCGCCCACTGGAATCTCGGCGTCCTCCTGCTCGCCGATCTAATCCACCACATCGACGAGCACGCCCTCGGCCTCCCCGCCCCAAGCCAATCCCGCTCCAACTGCAAATGGGTGATGCGGATCCGCGAGCGCAGCGCCCGAGAGCTATCCGACCTAGCGCGCGTGACCGCCCCGGACAACAGGACCCCGATCGTGCCGACGCTCTCGGAGTTCCACCACGCCATCAACCAGTGCATGATCCTCACGGAGCCGTGGACGGTTATTCTGATACGCGCGTTTAGCAAGGCGGCGAATTATTGGATGGCGGAGGTTAATGAGTTGTTGCAGGTTGATCGTGCGGGGGAGGAGTTGGAGGAGCGGCTGGGGAGGGGGGAGGAGTGTATTAGGATATTGTGGATTCTGGGGAAGAAGAGTGATATTGCGAGGAGGTGTGCTGAGACGTTGAGTAGGGCTAAGACGAGGTTGCCGATTTGACGAGTGATGCTATACCAGAATGGTAATGAAATTTGGGCTTGGTGGGGTGGGGTACACATACGCAGATCATAGGCGTTACAGGCAATGCCGGCATATTAATCAAGGAACAAGTCATTAATAAAATTGATATCAATCTCAAAGCCCCTTCAAAGCTTCAGTTTCTAATTATAATTGACACTCGACGTTGCAAACTCGATATGCTTCATGGCCCTACCAGTCTAGCCAATCCGTGGTGTAAAGGTCAGCGACTTGAACTCTAATTCGCAGTCGACTTTCAACCAATCAAAACTAGCACTCGGTTCCGTGGTCTAGTTGGTTATGGCATCTCGTTAACACCGAGAAGGTCCCCGGTTCGATCCCGGGCGGAACCACGTTTTTTGCTCTTTGCCCAATCTGATGCAGCTGCGATGACTGCTTTTTTCGTAGAACAGACTGCTATTTCATATTATTTAATTAATCTTTTGCTACTAATATTTCGGAGGTTATTGGGTAAATTTCGTCACGGCTGAAGTCTTTTTACGTTTTGCTGGAGTGCCATTGTTCATTGCTACGTAACAGTGTTTGAGTTTATCGCGCATCTCAATCTTCAGACTCTTAACTCTGTACCTGCATCTATTGGGTGGCATGGCCCTACATTCAACTAACCAGCGCAAATGTATATCGAACCTGCAATGCCATCTCTTCGTCCTGCAACCCCCAAAAGCCATTTGTTCACCAAAACCGCTAGACCCAAGCCTCCAGGGTAAACCCACGAAGATCCCTCACGTGTCTTCCCCAGATTTCTCCACGCTACTCAATCCCCTCTCCTCTCATTGGTCCACTCCCCATACCAGATCAACAGCTCGGTATCTGATCCCGCGGAACTTGAAGAGGCAAACCTCGGTCCACAGATAGCTTAAATACATCAAACAACCTCCCAATCTCATCACCACCATCCCCCAATATCCAATCTCACCTCATATCCATTAAAAATGGCGTTTTACCCTCCCTCTTGGGTCCCTAACCTCCCAGGTACTGTTAGCGCCCCGCTCTCCTAGAGGACGTACTAACTGGAGAAGATATACCTGATTCAATCAGCGTGGCAGACTTTATCAATGCTCAAAAAGCAGGGAGGAAGAGCTTTGAAAAGTCGAAGAGGCCGTATACGTGTGGTGTGACGGGGACGTCGCGGACTGCGGAGGAGGTTGCACAGCGTGTTGACTTGCTTGCGCGCGGGTTAGCGAAAAATGTCGGGTTTGATCCGAATGATGGAACAGCGTGGGACAGAGTCGTGGCGATTTACGCCCTCAACACGGTAAAAATTGTCAATTTTGTACGAATTCGACGGTTCTAATAACTTGGGCAGATTGATTACATCCCCGTCACGCACGCTATCCATCGCGTAGACGGTATCGTCACGCCCGCTAGTTCAGCTCACTCGGGGTCTGAACTCGAACATCAACTTCGATCATCAGGCGCAAGAGCACTGTTTACTTGCGCTCCTCTTCTCAGCACAGCACTCAAAGCAGCTTCTGCCGTTGGAATTCCAGAAAAGAATATTTTCCTGCTCCCTCTGCCTGAGACTCCCTCTGAAGGAACCTTCAAAACGATTGAAGATCTAATCGCAGAGGGTAAGACTCTACCGCCCTTGGAGCTACCAGCTTGGACACCAGGACAGGGAAAACGACAAGTCGCGTATCTGTGCTACTCAAGCGGTACATCAGGTCTTCCCGTACGTATACCACGTTTTTCTGTGTACTATCTAACAAGCCTAGAAAGCCGTTATGATCTCTCACTACAACGTCATCGCATGCACTCTCATGATCCATACCTTTGAGTCCATAACCCGCGCCCAAGACAACATCGACACGCAAGTAGCCCTCGGTCTTTTACCCTTCAGCCATATTTACGGGCTCGTTGTAAT